CCTGTTTGATGTTCGTTGGGATCTCGTGGGGGGCCTCGCGGGAGCCTCTTGGAGGCAGTTTGAGGCCTTTTGGTGGCAGTTTTGGAGCCTCTTGGGTGCATCTTGGGTCCTCTCGGGGGCGGGGCCTCTTTGGCGCCACTTGGGGCCTCCTGGCGGCCTCTTGGGGCGGAAGGCTCGGACTTTCGGTTCGTGCTCCCTATCTTGGGTCCCTTCTGGGGCCATCTTGGGGCCGTCTTGGGGCGCTCTTAGGCCGTCTTGGGGCCCTCTTGGAGGCCTCTTGGAGCTGTCTTGGGGGCCTCTTGGGCCATCTTGTAGCGTCGGAAAGCCGAAAAGGCGAGAACGCCAAAATCCTTCTTCATTCGAGAGTGATCAATGATTTGTGCCTCTTTGGGCCCTCTCGGGAGGCCTCTTGGAGGCCTCTTGTTGCGTCTCGGAGGCCTTTTGGGCCATCTTGAGGCCGTCTTGGGCGTCTTGGAGCGATCGTTCGGGTTCGGGGCCCTCTTGGACTCATGGGAGGGTTCGGGAGGTCGCCTTGAGGAGGCATAGCGTCCACCAGAGGCACAGGAAACATTTCAGAACTCGCAGGAGCCAGCCCGGAAAACCCCAGAAAAGCTTGGGACACGATTGGTCGGGGCCCTTGAGACTTACAGTTCTCGTTGCAGCAATAGCACAGCGTCTACCTCGTCAGTGTTGCATGAGCCTTCGGGCACTCCGCTTCGTGCCAGAGGCAAGGTGGCGGAGATATATCGCGGCGCCCGCTGCGCTGATCGACGTGGCTCGTCGACAAGCAGATTGCAGTTTTCGCATCGTTGTGCCAGGCGTGACACGAGCATCGCCGTTGTCACCTCGTAGAAGCATCTCGGAGTGGTCACGTCCCTCCAGGAATGCGACATTGTGGACGCCAATTTCAAAGTTCCCCGCATGCTCCAGGCCTATCCGCATCTATCTTGGTAGGTCGTCGCGTCCATGCACGTCCATAGCGTGCACTAGATCCGTTTCCTACAGTGCTTATTCTTGAGCAAGCTTTTGTTCGGCATACAAGTGCTGACCCCACGCCGCGGCAAATCAAGAAGCTGAATGGTGCATACATGGTTGTCCTAAGGCGCATCGCCAATAAGCCTCGCTTCGCCAAAGCCGAACATACAGACCGCCAGATCCGTGAGCTGCTAGGGCAGCCAGCCATTCAATGGCGAATAATCCGCATGCGTCTGAAACACCTCGCCCGTCTTGTTGCACACCGCCCGCGTGCGTTGATAGCTATCCTTCACGCCCGACCTGGGAGGCAGCGTTTGCAGTGGGAAGATCAGGTAGAGAAGTACACGCTTCTTCTCCATCCCATCCTGCCTGCTGAGTTCCCTTCCTTCTCCTCGAACCCCCTCGCCTGGCGCGCATTCGTGCTAAAGCGGAGCGATTGGAATGGGCTTGTAGATAAGATGTTCTTTATCCCTTCGGTCTGTGACCACATTCGCGCTGCTGCACAGCCCGGCCAACCCGCGCAGCACGTCTGCCATTGCGGCGAAGTTTTCATCTGCCCACGTCCCTTTGTGAGCCACCAGAGCCGTGAGCGTGGGCAGGCATTGTCGATCCAGGATCAGCTGGGGTCATCTGCGTGCCCTGCATGCCACAAAGATTTTCGAGAACGAGCGCGCTGGTTGGCGCATGTTTCAGACAAGCGTCGCCCCAAGTGCCGCGCGTGGATTATTGCCAACTGCCCTCCGCTGCCTCCGGCGCAGGCGGCCGCATTCCGAGCCAAAGATCGCGAGCATCGACGCTTGCCCAGGAGTCCAGGCATTCTCATCACCTCGCAGTGTTGCCGGTACTCCACACAACGTAGACATTTCGTTCGTGCATAGTGCCACATATGTTTAGCGAAGTTTAATGAGCATGCCTTGCCGAATGATATTATACATATATATATATAAAAATATGTGTGTATACATATATATATATATATATATATATATATACATACATGCATGCATGCATCATATAGATAAATAGCCCCCCCAGGCATGGGCCGGCCCACCCCGCAACCATCGGGGGAAGCTTGCTGATACCCCCCCCGTTTCGCTCCCCAGAGGCGGCCCGGAGAGGCCAAGAGGGTGCCAAAACGAGCCAAGAGGGTTCCAAGAGGCCCCCAAGACGGTGCAAGAAGGTCCCGAGCTGCCCAATACGGCCCAGGAGGACTCCCAGAGCACTCCCAAGAGGGACCCAAGAGGCCCAAATCATTAAGTTCATATGGGAAAGCGTACATGTTTAGCACGTACGACTTTTCAGCTTTCGCAGCTTTCAAGACGGTCCAAGAGGCTCCCAAGACTTCCCCAAGACAGCCCAAGACGTTCCCAAGAGGCCCCCGAGCCAGCCCAAGAGGGCGCCAAGACGGCCCAAGGGCCGCCTAAGATGTCCAAGTTGGCCCCAAGACGGCGCCCAAGACGGCCCAAGAAGGCCCCGAGTCGCCCAAGACGGCCCAAGATGGCCCCAAGACGGTCCAAGAAGTCTCCGAGGCGTCCCAAGAGGCCTCCAAGAGCACTCCCAGGAGGGCCCCTAGAAGCTACAATCGTTGAATTCCTATGGGGGAAACGTACATATGTTTCATCTGCGAGTTTTCGGCTTGCACGGCTTTGAAGACGGCCCAAGAGGCCCCTAAGACTTGCCCAAGAGAGCCTAACACGCTAACAAGAGGCCCTCAAGACAGCTCAAGATGGTGCCAAGACGACCCAAGGATTGCCCAAGACTACCCAGGTTAGCCCCAAAACGGGCCCCAAGACGGCCCCAGAAGGCCCCGAGTCGTTGAAGACTGTCCAAGATGGCCCCAACAAGGTCCAAGAAGGCTCCGAGACGTCCCAAGAGGCCTCCAAGAGCAATCCCAAGAGGATCCCTAGAGACCAAATTCGCTACATTCCTGTAGGCGAAACGTACATGTTAAGCATCTACGATATGGGGGCCTTCGCGCCTTTGAAGACGGTCCAAGAGGCCCCCAAGACTTCCCCAAGCGAACCGAAGACGCTCCAAAGAGGCCCCCAAGATAGCCCAAGAGGGCGCCAAAACGACCCAAGGGCCGACTAAGACGGCTCCAGGAGGGGTCCAAGAGGGGAATTCCGACTCGAAAGTTGCAAAATAGAGGTCTTCAAAGTTCGACCGTGAAGTTTAGCTAGAACCTAAGCGCGCGCGACGCGCGCGCGTGGTTCTAGTGTGTGTATATATATACACACATCCAGATCCAAATCCATGTACAAATACATAAACACATACGCATACCTAAACATATACATATTCAAATACACATGCATATACATTCCCATATGCATATACATAAACATATTCGCACACATTGATATCCATATCCTTCTAGCAATCCCACAATATACCATTCTAAGTACCGAATATTATGCAAATATATGTGTCGATACATCGCTTGGTCGGCCTCACTATTTGTCCAGCGAGTTCATTATCTATCAATCAATCAATACGCCATCGGGACAACCATCAAAAGAACTGTCGGGATAAACGCCGGGACAATCAGCGGAACCATCGGAGCAACCTCTATCTCATGGCCTTCGGCCCATCCAGCCACCATGCCTGGGTTGTGGTTCAGAGTTATTAAGGATGTTTCTTCGGGTCTCTTCGAAACGCTCTCGGGGGCCTCTTGGGAGCCTCTTGTGGGCCTCTTGGAGGCATCTTGGGGCCTCTCCGTGGCCTGTTGGGGTCTCTTGAGGGCCTCTTGGGGCCTCCTGGAGGCCCCTCGGAGCGGAGGGCTCGAAATGTCCATTTGGTTTCCCCTTCTGGGCCCCCTCTAGGACCGTCTTTGGGCCCACTTGGGCCGTTTTGGGCGCTTTGGAGTCTTCTTGAGCCGTTTGGGGGCCCTCTTGGGGGCCTCTGCGGCCGTCTTGGCGATCTTACTGGCCTCGTGGGCCGTCTTGGAGCGTCGGAAAGTCGAAAAGGCGAGAAGACCAAAATCTTCCAAAAACTTTAGGGAAATCAATAGTTTGTGCCTCTTAGGGCCCTCTCGGGAGGCTTCGTGGAGGACTCTTGGAGCGTCTTGGAGGCCTCTTGGACCGTCTGGAGGCCATCTAGGGCCTCTTGAAACAACACTGTGAAGACCTGACGGTCGGTGCCGCTGACCCTGAAAGACATCGACGACGACCAGTAGGGGGAGGAGGAGGAGGAGGAGAAGGAGGAGGAGGCGGAGATAAGGAGGAGGAGGAGGAAAAGGACTCCCCCCTGGGACCCCCCTCTGGGGAAGAGGACCGGAGTGGGACCGGCGTGGGAGAGGGGAGGGGAGGGGGATGAGGACCCCCAGGGACGGATGCAAACTTGATTCCCCTCCCCCCACCTGGGACTCCTCCCCACCTGGGGAGGAGGACCCTGTCGCGCCAGAGAAGGACCGATGTGGGAGAGGAGGACCCCCAGAGGCGATGCGAATCTGTCCCCCCCCCCACCATTCCCCCATCCCCCCACTCCCGGAATTCCCACCCATCCCCCGACTCCTTCCCCCGACGACGGGAGAGTGCTATCTCCCTCCCGGCGGGGAAGGATAAACAGAAAAGGCGCCCTGTCGAGGGGACCAGACAGACCTCTCACGCACGCCGACAGGGTCGGCGGATTTCAGCGACTCGGGGCCCTCTTGGACCGCCTGGGGGGCCTTCCGGGGCCCTCTGAGCCCGTCATGGAGCCTTCCTTCGGGTGTTGCTAGTAGAAGTGCCCCTGGGTCAAGGTGCTCCCAGGATTTCCAGGGTAGCCCAAACGGCCTCCAAAGCACCCCTCACGGGGCCCAGACTCCAAAATGGAGCGAAAAGCTTAGGGTACCTTGGGCCAGGGGTACTTCTAGCAACACCCGACTCCTGGGCTCGAAAAAGTCACACGAAAAGATGCGGCAAGCCCCCGACAAGCTTCGCCAAGACGAAGAAGACTTGGCAATCTGCGCGCGACCCTGGGGCGGCGGTTGGCCTCGGCATCTGCCCGGGGCCCCGCGTAAGAGCCGCGTGCGCGGTGCGGGCAGGAAGGGAGGATGAGCGGGGGGCGGCTCCACGTCGCGGGGGGGGTGCAGAAGCCCTACATTTGCGGCACCAGAGGGCCCATAACGTTTGGCGCTGTCAAGTTTAAGGTTGTTCCGTTCATACCTCCATGCGTGAACTGGCGGAATTGCACGTAGGTCAGCGCCCCAGTGATACGAACACCTATCGCGGCTTGAGCTGGGCTTGGTCAAACCAGTTCAGCAAGGTTGAGTTGCGTAAGACGGCCACTGAATTTTCCTGGGTCACTAGGGTAGTTTCGCGTCGTGTCGACCAGCGGCGATCACGCAGGCGCTCAACGGTGAACGCCGCTAGCGACCCAGAATCGGCCGATGTCAAGCGATCTGCGCCGTCGGAGAGCCACGATCGTTCAAGGTCGAACGATGCGCGCGGCGTCAGAAGCCAACGCCCGCGACATCGCGACGGAAACCCGTGGTAGCGTGTGCCCGCTCATGCTCCCCCTTCCCTCCTCCTCGCCACGACGCCGGGCCCCGCAGCGCAACCTCGGCCCCTGTCAGGTTCATCCTCACGATCGCGAAGCGCCGCCGGACCACCAGCCAGGCCCGCCGCCCCCCTGCCCGGGGCTTGGCATCGCTCCGACACGTGCATTTTTTCCTCGGCGGGGGCCATCGAGGAGCGTCCTGGGTCTTCCTGCGAGAGAAACAGCGCACGAAGCCGATTAAAATCCGGAGGGGATGGACGTCCGAGCGACGGCAAGAAGATGGGGCCATGAGGGGTGGGGCCTTGGGGACGAGGATGCGACGTTGTCACGCCGGGCGTTTTCGCCCGGCTTCGGCGTGGGTTCGGCGCGGATTTGACGAGCCCGCTTCGGATCCGACACGGATGTGACAAGGAGAGGTGCGCGAAGGGACAGACAGGGCCCCCTGAAGGTGCAACGTAATTCCACGGAGCGGCCCCGCCCTCTCGGATGGCCGCCCACTTCGATCTGGCTCGAAAAATGCCGCAGGAAAATGGGTTCTGGGGTTCTGGTCGTGATTTCTCCCGATGTTGGCGTTCTTTCTACAACTTGCGGAGGGCCCAGCTTGGGACCCCTTGTCCCATCCTCAGGGCTCTAGCCCTCAGGGCCTCATCTTGACAGGCCGCGGACGCCCCTCGGGGACGCCAAGGTGTCCACCCACACCGATCCCAGGCAGGCCAATCCTGGGCTCAAGAGAGAGGAGGGGTGAGTGGGGTGTCGACATCCGCACACTGCCCCCAGCAACCGTCGACTCTCCTGAAGCGAAGGGAGGCGGAGCAAAAGTCTGCTTTCGCCGCCGCGCTCGACGAGCTCCGAGCCCCGCCCCCGCCTCGCATCCCAGGAGCCCGCGCCTCGCCAGCCGGGCCGGGAGGGCGCTCGCCCGCAGACGGGCCCAGCGCCAGCCTCGCGGGGAAATCGGCGCGGGTGGGCAGTCGGCGTCCTCCCCTCGGTGTGCCCCGAGGGCTGCCTGCGGCGTGTTCGATGCTGATCCTCCAGATTGCCCGCTGGTGCTTGATGGTTGGCGGTAGCCCCTCCTCCTCCTCCCCCTCCTCCTCCTCCTCCTCCTCCTCCTCCTCCTCCTCCTCAGGTGAACAACTGAACAGGTGAAACCGCAGTCATGCACGCACGACTACGATGGTAAAGAATAAATGAAGGCAGCATCTCGTCCAGGGAGGCTGCTCGGGCTTCTCGAGCCTCGCTTGACTTGCACCCTGACTCAACCCTGCTCCCCCACCCAGCATCACAAATGCTCCGCCTGACTGTCGCTAGCGAACGCGACGGCGAAGTCCCGACTGGATGTCCAGGCGCAGGGAGGGGTGAGGTGAGGGATTGGATAGTTATGGAGGTCACGGTGAGACGGAAACAAATGTCACGGTGTTGGTGCGTGCGCGTGCATCACAGTGTTTCGTTAAAGCATTCATCCTCCCCCGTCTGCTCGCTCTCCCGGTCCTCGTAACGCAGGCGGTCGCCACAGCACGGCCCTAAAGGAAGGGAAGAGGGCTGCACCATTAGATGTCCTAAACTCATGTTAGGATCGATCATATTTTAAATTGTGATCCCGCTGGAGGTGCCATCGCGGATAGGCTGGTACAGCCAAGATGGAGGTAGCAGGAAAATAAAGTTGCGTTGTTCGCTGCTCCTCGTCCTCCACCCGCTCAATCCTTCAAGTCCCTCGCCTCTCCCCCTCTCGTCATTAAATAAGTACGTGCGCCCATGACGGCGGGGCGGAAGAGGGGGGAGTTTGGAGAATGGGGAGAAGGGTCCAGACGAAGCGAACTACGTGATGGGCTCAGGCCAGGCTATCTCTTTGCCTCGGCTGCTTGGTAGTTCGAGCCTGCGGAGCTTAAGAAGCTCGCTGCGCAACTCGTGCTGGCTGGATCTTTTTGTGCTGCGGGAGCCTGTACTGAAACCTCCACAGGCGATGCAGACGATTACCGACAGGCCTGTGCCCATGACGTGCGACTGCATGAGGATATGCTTCCGCGCCATGGATATGTCCAATATGTCAGGGAGTGCTGCTGGCAGCTCTTTGTATTTATTTTGGTATGGGGTGTCACCCTCATGAGACAGAGGCAACACTTATAGGAGCCGCCTGTCCGAACAGGCTGGTGTGACACAGTGAAGAGCCTCGTGCTCGTTCCTGGGCCGCTTCATCCAAAGAATACCATACCTCCGAGTTCGGCGGCCAGTCTTTTACGCCTCGCCGGCGAAGAACAGGAGCGTTTATAGAAATTCACTGCATGCACCTGCTCCTCAGCTGCGTCCTGGGGAAGCGCCTGTCTGGCTGCGGCTTGACCAGCGTGCTGGTCGGCGGACCGATTCCCCAGCATGTGCCGGACGTCTTCGGCCAAGGTGATTTGGGAATTGTTTTTGTGCGTTTTGATTTTGAGCAGGGTCGGCCAAATGTCTGCCGGGATGGCATTGGCGAGTTCTCGCCAGACCTTGCGAACTCTGTTTTACATGACAGCGCGGAGGCTGGGGAGGAACTTGCAAACAAAGACTGACAGTCCACAACGATCGGGGCTGTTCTGGGTTGCTCGGACCACACATTGGCTAGCACTAGGTTCGCATGCGCCGTGATGTGATCAAGGGTTGCAGGCAACGCAGTTCGAATGCAGTGGTTGATGGTGCCTTGCTCCGTAAGCTGCACCATTGAAACTCCTCCCCTGCCGATGTAAAGGGTGCTGGGGTTGGGGACGCTGCCATCCGTGAAGATGGGCGGATCGCAGCTGCTCGAACTCCCAATGGGGTACTGGCGAGTTGACTGGAAAATGATGAGTCCTTTGGGCCCACCTCAAGACTTCTTCAGCGAGTTCTGGGGCCAGGGAGCACGTGGAGTGAAATGAGAGGGCGGGGCGGTATCCTCGTCGTTTCTCTCCTCGCCCACTTCTCTTACTCCACCAGTGCGCTCCTTGCCCAGGAGGAGGAGGAGGAGGAGGAGGAACAGGAGGAGAAAGAGGAGGAGGATTTGGAGCAGGAGCGGGAGGAGGAGCAGATGGACAAGCAAGATGGAGAAGAATTGGAGCAGGAGGAGCAGCAGGCTCCTCGTCCATGAACCTCGCGCCTGGACGCCGGGAGGGGCCGGCGACCTTGCGCGGCCTCCTCATCTTCCTCCTCCTCCTCCTCCTCCTCCTCCTGCTCCTGCTCCTCCTCCTCCTCCTCCTCCTCCTCCTCCTCCTCCTCCCTCCTCCTCCTCCTCCTCCCTCCTCCTCCTCCTCCTCCTCCTCCTCCTCTCCTCGTTCTCCTCCTCCTTCTCCTCCTCCTCGTCCTCCTCCTCCTCCTCCTCCTCCTCCTCGTCCTCCTCCTCCTCCTCCTCCCTCCTCCTCCTCCTCCTCCTCTCTCCTCCTCCTTCCTCCTCCTCCCCCTCCTCCTCCTCCTCATCCTCCCTCTTCTCCTCCTCCTCCTCCTCCTCCTCCTCCTCCTCCTCCTCCTCCTCCTCCTCCTCCTCCGCCTCCTCCTCCTCCTCCTCCTCCTCCTCCTCCTCCTCCTCCTCCTTCTCCTCCTCCTCCTCTTCCGCTCAGTAAAGCTGAGCAAGCTCAGAGGAGTAAGCACCTACAGTAGGTGCAGCAGAATTTTCTTTCCAATACATCGCTACGCGATCAGGCAGATACTCCAGATACTCCTCCTCCTCCCCCTCGCCCCCCACGCGCGGTTGCAAGGGGGGGCAGCCGCGGGTGGTGGCGGTGCTCGTCGTCGTCCTAGTCTGTTGCCGCGCCTCTTCCGTCGTCCTCCAGCTGCCGCCACTACGGCTGCTGCCAGCGCAGGCGTCCGCTTCGTCGTCGGCATGGCCATCGGCGCGCCCGGCGGGAGTGGCAAGAGGAGGGCATTGGCAGCGGAAGGAGCCTGAGCGGGAGCGGGAGGAGGAGCAGCGCAGCAGGGGGGGGAAGCAGCGGCGTGAGGAGCAGCGGCAGCGGCAGCAGCGGCGGCCCAAGCATTGCCCCTCCCCGTTCTCAACACGTCATCCCTCATTCCCCACCCCCCCCTCCTCCCCGTCCCACGTTTTCCCCATCCCCCTCCTCGCCCATCCTCCCCCTCCCACCCACCCACCCCACACACCTCCCCTCTCCCCCCACTGGAGGGAGAGGGGCGGCCTCGCCGTGGTTCGGAGCCTCGTCGTGTGCCACTCCTTCCCCACCTCGGCCTTCCTCTTCGCCGCCGTGTTGGAGAATGTCTGAGGGTGTTGTGTGCGTGCGCGGTCTGGCGTTCAGAAGTTTCCCCCGAGGAGGAGGGGCAGGACGGGCAAGCGGCGGCACGAGAGGGAGCGGGGGGCCGCCGCCGTCTCCGCCGAGCCGGGGGCCCCGGCGAGGCGCCTGGGTGGCAGAGAGGCTGCAGTTGCCGCAGCTGCCGCAGCTGCCGCAGCTGCCACAGCGCCAGCAGCGGCGGCAGCGGTCCGAGGCCGGACCGCTCAGGACTAGGGCGGCGGATGTAGGGGCGGTGCCCAAGAGCGGCTGCAGCGGCGACGGCGGATGCGGCGGCCGCCACGCCCCAGGGCGCGCAAGCCAGCACCTGAGAGCTCCGAGGGCAGCTCGGCGCGCGGCGCGGCGCGGCGCGGGACGTCGACTTTTTGAGGCCAGCCCGCCGCCCAGCGTTCTGGAGAGGCGACGGAGAGAGAGCGGCCAGCGTCAAGCAGTCCTTGCCAGCCTGCCGTCCAGCGTTCCGCGGGAGTGGGTGGGGAAGCCCTGAGGAGGGGGGGCGGGGAGGAGGGAGGGGGAAGGGACGCACACACGGCAAGCAAAAAAAACAGCATTGGCGTCTGGCGTGGGAGGATGCCTGTGGATCTAGCCACTCCGACGGTGGGATCCCGCATGAGGCCAGTATTTTTTTTTCCCGCCTAATTCTTTTTCTGCGCCCTACTCCTACTCCTTCCTGCTCTTCTTCCTCCTCCTCCTCCTCCTCCTCCCCCTCCCCCTTCTCCTCCGTTTCCTCCTCCGTCTCCTCCTCCGACTCGTCCTCGTCCTCTTCCTCCTCCTCGTCATCCTCCTCCTCCTCCGACTCCCCCTCCTCCGTCTCCGACTACGACCACCAAGTACTTTTACTACTACTACTACTACTACTACTACTACTACTACTACTACTACTACTACTACTACTACTACTACTACTACTACTACTCCTACTACTACTACTAGTACTACTACCATACTACGACTACTACTCTACTTACTACTACTACTGCTACTACTACTACTATACTACTACTACTACGAATACTACTACTACTACTACTACTACTACTACGTTACGTCTACGACTACGACTACGGCTCGACTACGACTACGACCACGACTACGACTACGACTACTACTACGGGACTACGACTACTACCTACACTACTACTACACTACTACTTCTACTAACTACTACATAACACTACTACTACTACTACTACTACTACTACTACCCTTACTACTACTACTACTACTACTACTACTACTACTACTACTACTACTACTACTACTACTACTACTACTTATTCTCGCTACTTCGACGGCTACTACTAGCTACTACTACTCCTACTCCTACTCCGACTACTACTACTACTAGTACTACTAGTACTACTACTACTACTACTACTACTACTACTACTACTACTACTGCTACACTACTACTACTACTACTACTACTACTACTACTACTACTACTACTACTACAACGGCTACGACGACTACTACGCCTACGACTACGACTACGCCTACAACTACGACTACGTAGACGATGACGACTACGACGACGACGACCTCTACGACTACTATCTACTACTACTACTACTACTACTACTACTACTACTACTACTACTACTACTACTACTACTACTACTACTACTACTACTACAACTACTACTACTACTACTTATACTACTACTACTACTACTACTACTACTACTACTACTACTACTACTACTACTACTACTACTACTACTACTACTACTACTACTACTACTACTACTACTACTACTACTACTACTACTACTACTACTACTACTACTACTACTAATAGTAATAATAATACTCCTACTACTACTGCTACTACTACTACTAATACTACTACTACTACTACTACTACTACTACTACTACTACTACTACTACTACTACTACTACTACTACTACTACTACTACTATACTTACTACTACTACTACTACTACTACTACTACTACTACTACTACTACTACTACTACTACTACTACTACTACTACTACTACTACTACTACTACTACTACTACTACCGACGACTACTACTACTACTACTACTACTACTACTACTACTACTACTACTACTACTACTACTACTACTACTACTACTACTACTACTACTACTACTGCTGCTGCTGCTGCTGCTACTACTACTACTACTACTAGGTCATCGGTTGTTCGGTGGCCTGTGTGTTTTCGCATACGCGATGTTCCAAGGGATCTCTTGAGCCAAAACGGTTACGGAAGCGAGGGAGGGAGGGGAGAGGAAAAGGAGAGTGAGAGCGAAACGTTTGCTTTTGAACAACGGTGTTGCGAATCCATGTGTTGCTCAATGGCTCCGCTGCTTGGGCCGCCTCGGGGGTCAGTCCTTCAAGAGCGCCCCAAACAGATGTTGTACAACAATTATCTCAAAATCTGTCCAACATGCCGTGAGATGGGGTGCCAAACGAAGAACGAGGATGAGGGGGAGGAGGAGGAGGAGCACGAGGAGTAGGAGGAAGTGGGAGGAATAGGGAGGAGAAGGAGGAGGACGAGGAGGAGGCGATTCTTTACGCTTCGCGTATCCCCACCAGCCCATCTCACAACAGCAACTCATGCGAAGCATGCCGACAGTCGTGTTTTTCAGGCGTGTGTCCGTTTGGCCCCGCATATCTCCCTTGTTCCTCCTTCCTCCCGCCTCCTTGTACATCCTCCTTGTGGGGGGAGCGGGAGAAGGACGAGGCGGAGGAGGAGGGAGAGAAAGCGCTCCTCGTGATTTGAGTCGTTTGGGGTTTCTCGTCCTGGTGTGAGTCGTTCGGGCCCTTCTTCCTGGTGTGAG